TTCAGTTACTTTCGCCGGTCAAGATGTCCGTTAAAGTTTAAATCTTCCGGACAAAATTAGAAAAGTGCCGGTCAAAGGTCTTCTTTGTTATTTATTGAGCTTTAAAACAAATGAATAACGAATCTATATAATAAAACACGGAGGACGGAGATCTCTTTTTCTCCCCCTCTTCTGACAGCTCAGCAGCTGATCAGAGCACGGCTCACCTCTCCTTGCAGGGGGGCGTGGTCAGCAGAATCAGACCCGTAGACAGCAAACAGCACATAGAGCGAAATGAGGCATGGCTAAAATGCATGATCAGTTTGGTATTTTGAAAACAGAAACGTATAAATATACCTTATATAGGTATGGCCCTACAATATATCATTTAAATATAGCATGATAGGTCCACTTTAAATCAAAAACTGCCATTATGAGTCACATTCTTAAATAACATCTATTTAGACAAAGTATTTCATTTTTCTAGTTTTAACTTTTTGAACACATAAACGTGTATCTTACAGTTCCTTTGGGAGAGAATTACGCACAAATCTGTCATCTCAAAACATTCTATTACAGTATTTTTTCTGCTTTATTTGTTCTACGTCCTATATATATATGTTGCACTGTTGGAGGAGCCTGTGACCTATGTTTTTCAATGCCATATCTACACTGTAGCTAATGTGCAGATGACAATAAAGCCTTGAAACTTGAAATTATCAAAACTGCATTGTCTCACTGAAACAGCCCTAAAAATCACAAACTGCCATTAAAGAAACCCAATTCCTTACAAAGTACTTAATATTCTACCAGTTGTAAAGTGTTGCACACTTCAAAGTGTATCTAAAAGTATCTTAGTAACACAAACAAAGCAAAAAGCATTAATGTTAACAAAACCTCAAAGGGCGGACTCATGAGCTCCGTAATGTCGCCCTAACATGGCATTTGGACTATTTTCATCATCCAGGGAAACACACCGGTAAATACACCTCTCTTTGTCCGCTCTTCAAGCCTCAAAGGGCGGACTCATGAGCTCCGTAATGTCCCCCTAACATGGCACTTAGATTATGTACATCATCCAGGGAAACACAACTTCAAAGGGGCTTCCTTATAGTTAATAAAGTAATTAAACAATAAAAGATCAATGGGTCATTAAGATCTTTAAATTATTATTACCCACTTCAAAGAGACTTCCTTATAGTTAATAAAGTAATTAAACATTAGTTCACACGCCATACAATACAAAGAATATCCTTAATTAACACAAATCATATTAAACTAATCTTTTAGAGAGGGCAATTGAACAACAGGTCATCAGACACTCATCAAAGGACGGACATCAAAGGTTTATTATACCATAATAAACAACACCTCATAAACAACACCTCATAAACATATGACACCATAAAACAACACCTCATAAACATATGACACCTGTCATCAGACATCATAAACATATGACACCTGTATGACATCTGTCTTCACACCTCACATCAAAGGTTTATTAGGGGTCATCAAATAAGTAGTGTAAGTGTCACTTGTCATACCACCTGTCACTTTGTATGCATACTAATGTGACGAAAGGGGTATGAATACTACTACTCATGTTTGTGAGCAACTATATTGTCACTGCTGCCCCACAGAGACTACACTCAGGTGACTTCATCATATTGGCAGGTGGATTTGACAAAGGGGAGGAGGTGAAGAGCATCTGCACAGCAGGAGTCAGCAGTTTGACATCACTGTACAGTGATCAGGAGGAGGCAGACACAAGGATGGTGCTCCATGCCATACATCTTACAGAGTCATATTCCCGCATCATTGTGAGGTCTGATGACACAGATGTGGAAGTACTGCTCATATAGAGAACCGCAGTGACGCGTCCTAAAACCCGGAAGTAAACTCCTTCCGGTTCCTTCGTCAAAAACCAATGCAATTTCTCCATAGGATTTTGGAAAATAGCTGGAAATAAGGCCTGTGGTTGACACACATTTAAGAGACGGATCACGTTTTGTTCAGCCGGATAATATCCACATGTCTACCCTACTTTTATAATTTTCTAATCATAAATCTAGTCGCCAGAAGCAAAATGCTAACGTTATGCTATAAACGAACTACAGCAGGGTCGCTGCTTCAACGTCACGCCAACTTAAGATCCATATTCAAACATACAGATTCTAAATGGTACAAGTTGAAGCGTTTGTTTGAACAGTTTGCAGGAGGCAGGTACTTGCTTTCAAGCAGAACAGGGCAAACAAACTTAGCGGGAGTGTTTTACGTGTTCGGTGTAATGACGTAAAACGGCCTGGACAACTTCTGTAGTCCTATTCAGCCACATGTTAACAACCATCGTTTTTCAGACACATAAACTCTTCAAAAATCACCAGCGGGGTCACTGCTGATGTATTTAATGTCGTAGAACAAAACGTGATCTGTCTCTTCAATTTGTATCAAACACAGACCTTATTTCCAGCTATTTTCCAAAATCCTATGGAGAAATCCCATTGCTTTTTGTCGAAGGAACCGGACGTGGTAAAAATGCTAACTTGCTTCCGGGTTTTAGGACGTGTCACTGCGGTTCTCTATATTATGGAAGCAAATACATGTTTGGTTCATCTCTAGTGTACATGCATGCAGGCCATGGAATGAGAGAGAGATATGTCCCCATCAACACCATATGTGAAATGTCAAAAGACATGTCTAACTGTCTACCAGCATGATAATCACTCACTGGCTGTGACACAACAAATAGTTTGTACAAAATAGGAAAGACAACATCCATCCATCCATCCATCCATCTTCTCCCGCTTATCCGTGGTCGGGTCGCGGAGGTAGCAGTTCCAGCAGAGAGCCCCAAACGTTCCTTTCCCTGGCCACAGCAACCAGCTCTGACTGGGGGATCCCAAGGCGCTCCCAGGCCAGCGAAGAGATATAATCCCTCCACCTGGTCCTAGGTCTACCCCTCGGTCTCCTCCCAGCTGGACGTGCCTGGAACACCTCCCTAGGGAGGCGCCCAGGTGGCATCCTTACTAGGTGCCTGAACCACCTCAACTGGCTCCTTTCGACCCGAAAGAGGAGCGGTTCAACTCTGAGTCCCTCCCGGATTACTGAACTTCTCACCTTATCTCTAAGGGAGACGCCAGCCACCCTGCGGTGAAAACCCATCTCAGCCGCTTGTATCCGCAATCTCGTTCTTTCGGTCATGACCCATCCTTCATGACCATAGGTGAGGGTAGGAACGAAAATGGCCCGGTAGACAGAGAGCTTTGCCTTCTGGCTCAGCTCTCTTTTCGTCACAACGGTGCGGTAAAGCGACTGCAGTACCGCTCCCGCTGCTCCATTGTTCCCTCACTCGAGAACAAGACCCTGAGATACTTGAACTCCTTCACTTGGGGTAAGGACTCATTCCCTACTTGGAAAGACAACAGCATTCACCAAACTCAAAACCCATCTCAGCGAGCTCAAAGATCTGGCCCATTTTGGACTCCCTGCCAGCTTGGAAGAGTCTTTGCCAGTCGCAAGAGAATTTGCATTTCTGCTATACAGAAAAAAGAAAAAGGAAATTGGACTGATGTGCACAAACTTGGATGAACTGAGGTTCATAATTGCATCAACAACAGATGCAGCCTCGGAAAATCTGCCGCCAACAGAGGATGCATTTCAACAACATGTGCAAAGAGCAATGTTTCAGACAGCGATATGGTGTCACAGCCCGAACCCAAACCCTTGTTATGGAGTCCTATTGGCAAGGGGTGGATTGTCAGAGATGGGGCCATTCAACCAGTGCTATTTACAAAACCCCCAGCACCTACAGAAGTGAGAGACATTACTCACTTGTATTGCAACGAGGGAAAGTGTGGAGAGAGTGGAAAGTGCCAGTGCCTCTCTGTTGGCCTTCCCTGTATGGTGTTCTGCACCTGCTGTGCAGAATGTCAAAATGTGTCCCCTAACGTTTCTGAGGAACCTGACATTTAACATTCTATTCTAGTATCTATATACTTGACCTTTCACATAATTATTTGATGATTTGTATACTGTACTTTGAATTAAGGTTCCAGTTTCAATAAAACCTGTACTATTTACACCTATGTTTTAGAGGCTTGCAATTTAGAACTAATACATTTTATTTTATTGGGTTACTCTTATTCTGACTATTTGGTGATGTAGTTCAGCCACCTGGTATTTCCCTCTCCAAATATAATGACCATCAGAGTGAGCATTCTTGATTTATAGGCTATTATGCCACTTATCCCCCATTCGGAATTTGACTGTATCAGAGAAGAGGTAGGCCTATGTCTAAAGAAATCTCCTTTGCAATAGAACTGTACCAGATATTTCCATACAACTACTGGTTATTGTTCAATAGCACCCTAGACAATTCAGTAATGGCATATATTTTAGGGATTTATGTTTTCCTGATAAATGAAAGAAAAATGATTGAGTCCTATGTTACTATCACCAAAAAGTACAATTTCCGTCTAAACTAAAGCTAAGTTTACAGGACTATAATTCAATATTTTTTTAGGTAAATAATTGTCTGACTATTTGGTGATGTAGGACAGCCACCTGGTTCATACCTCAGCAAATCTAAAGAGGACAAGAGTGATCATTCTCAAGTTACGGGCTTTTCTGTCACCTTTCCCATATTCGGCCTGGTCTAATTTGGCTCTTTTTCAGGGATTGGGGTAGTTCTAAAGAACAACCAAAAAAACATTTCTTCCCCCAAAATAAAATTTGACAACAATCAATTTCATTAATGGGAGAGCCTAAAGATAAGAAAAATCATTGTTGTGTTTTGTTCTACCTCGGGTAGGGGTATCTCGAAAACTAAAGCTTTTTTTTAGGACTGCTAGACTATAACTGTACCTCATGCTCAAGGTTGTGTCTGATGGCTGACTGTTAAACATTGGAATACGACTCTGTTAGTTGAAAGTCTGTCCTAATGTGAAGGCTGTGTGAGGGCAGGGTCTGTTGCATTGATTTCTGTTACATGATGTTTTTTGTCTGTTTCTGATGTATAGGAAGTGGATATGGACATCACTGTTTCCTATGCTGACAAGAAAGTGTTCCTGCAGAGTAACCGATCGGAGTAAGACGTTTTGTTGGTTTTTAAAAACCTACTGAATTTCAAACGACCTACTTACAGACTGAAACACATGCATAATATTTTAATCTGTAATTAAATTCAGCATGAACAGGCAGGAAGTCATACTAAAGGTGTCAGTATGTTCAAATCAAACTGATTGTCCTGAATGGCACACTCCGGAAGGAGAGATGAGGAAGAGTGGTCTTTAGAGGAGGGCTGTGTTCAGTCACTGGTCACATGGAGAGAGCCACATCTCCAAAGGCATTCATTGGGCACACAACCAGGTTCTTCTAGAGGGCTTTGAAACAAAGTTAAAACTCTTTCACACATCTGGCCATTTTTTCTCTGTGTGTGTTGGATTGCCGTTTGTTGCCAGTGAGCTACAGAAATGTTCTTATGCAGATGAAGCAGTTCTGTATAAATACCACAATACCAACTCCACTACATCAGCTCTGTGTGCTCAGTGTGTGACTATCCTCCTCTCTAGGATCTACGTTCTACAGGCTGAGTTTTCCTCAGAAAACCAACCGGTAAGATTTTTTCATTTGTGCATTATGTGTAGAAAGTGTTTTTCATGTGTCCCACCAACAAGACATCCTGTCCAACTCCTTCAAAATAAAATAGCTGGATCCTTCCTTTGACCATGACACATTTAATCAGCATATACACTGTAAGTCTGTTTGGATAAAATATGGAATTAGATTGGGGTTCAATTAGCCCTCCCTCTTTTTTCAGCATCTGGATCAGGCACAACTGGATTTTGTCAGAGAAGCTGTGGAGAAAATAGGAATTCCCAAAGTCCTGTCTGGTAAGTCCAGAGAAATAAAAATATAAAAAGTGAAACCTGTCTTAAACCTTGTCCGATTCACTCCACCATTGTAAAGCATTCTTCTAAAATGAAAAGATAACTGGCTTTTATCATTTTAAAAATAAAAAAGGATATTTAAATTACTCATCTAACAAGCAAGACAAGTACTCATATGATTTTCCAATGCCCTTTATTGTACATTCATTACTGTACTAGATTTTTAAACTGAGCACTTTGCTGGATTCCTTCAAACAAATGTCTCCTTGCAGCTGATTTGGACTTTAATATCCTTAAATGTATTTATTTTCTGTTGGCTGTTGCTAATTCGGTAGTAAAATTGTGTTTTGTGCTATAGTAGCAGCAGTAGTTGTGATACAATTGAAACTAATCATCTTTAACAGCACTGCCAAGCTTGAGTCAACTTACAGCAAAATGTAGTTCAGGGAACTAAGTGGAACCTGTAATGGCTACATATCGCATTATGTTTGTTTAATTACAATTTGAGAGAAGAGGTACAGTGGTGTGTAAAGTGATGTGTTTTCTATGATATTTCTGTGGCATGTCTTGCAGTTTTTGAGACAGAGGTAACCAGGATTCTGGACAAACAGGGAACTTACCTGTTTGACATCTTCAGCCCGGAGGTGCTTCCTCAGGAGGTGAGTGTTCTCTGGACCTTTTTCATCTCCTCATCCTCTGTGTTTTAATCACATCGCTTCTCCCCTTTGCCTTCCTCTTTCTGTGCTGAAGGGCTTCACGGTGATTCAGATGGATTTTGGTTTCCCTCATCACCTGCTGGTGGAGTTCCTCAGAAGGACACTACAGTAACTAAGCAACCCTTCGTCAAAATGAGACATATTCATGTTTGTCTCAAAGTGCTGCTCCTGTAAAAATGTACCCTTTAATGTGTAAGCTATGCAAAAACAATGATGTTGCATTTTTATTTTTACCATATTGTTTAGATAAAATGTAGATATTAATGGTTATAACAAGATTTCCCTGATGTTCATTACCATAAAGTGTAAATCATTGCTAAAAAGGAAAGTACTACTGATTTTAATACGTTGATTCAGTCTAATTTTCTATTATTAACAAACAAAAAACAGACAGACCATTTACATTTTTGTAAAATTTGCATTATTTCACCCAAATATTTACTGATTTACAAATCTAATGTGGACTTTTACAAATTCACAGATGGACGTTTTTTTTTATTTGCCTATAGTGCTAAACATAAAGAAACATGGATACACTTTTCAGTCTGTTTCATACCTAGTTGATTCCCTGATGTCCTTTTTTATCCATCTTACAGTGGAGGACTGTCTTTCAACAGTTCAGTTACTGAACTGCATGATCAGCAAAGAAGAGAGCCTTCTGATTCCTGAATTCAAACCTACACCATGACTGTTGCTATGGTTATCATGTACTGTAATTGCATATATGTAATGTTTATTCGTTTCTTGTGTTATTTTTGCTTGCAAATTAGAATACTGATATTCTTATGCATGATGTGGCCAACCCGGTATCACGGCAAGACGTGAACATGTGACGATCTACCATGCTGGGAGACGTGAATATGTCACGGTTTCGTCCCTTCAAACGTGACAGTTACACGGTATTGTTAACATGGCCCAACCAGTGGAGAAATACCCGGAAGTGCCAAGCAAATGGTCTACCGCGCCTATTGGTCGGTTTTTATTGTCAAAATGAGATGTTTTTAATTTATTTTTTAATCATCACACTTGATTTCGCCGATTTTCTTGTTGCCCTAGCTGGTCGACACCTCTTTTAGCAGAAACAAAGGCTACATTAATGTATTAAATCGATGTTAATCCATGTGTGTGGAGGTGAGGATGTGGAATTAACGGACGTGACGTTGTGTGATTGCGTTGCCAGGCAACGCAATTTACAAACTCTTCAACTACAACCCTAATTATATTTTAAAACATTTTAGAAGGCCTCACGAAATACTTTAATGTAAATTAAAATGTAAATGTGAAGGGGTGTGTGTAATGTGGTGATTGACATTATTCACCCACGGATCTATGGGTTGGGGGTATTGTTCCGCACGGACATTTTAGTTAACCGGACTCCTGTTGATGTGAAATCCGAAAACATTTAAAAAAAATAAAATAATACTTTATTCCGAGTTTGCTTGCTTTTCTCTTTGGAGGTCATCACATAACGGCATTGTAATACACGGTTTGGCTGCATTAAATATGACATATCTGCCGTAGTTCTGTATTTATAGAGCCCTGATGAGAAGACTTCTGGACAAACAGGAAGCACTGCCGCCAAAACTGAAAACGTGACGTGGATCATAAATATATCTGCAATTAAACAACATCTTACATTTCTTTTCACACAATACGTCTCCTTGCAGTATCAATACTAATTCGGCTGACTTTTATATTTGATCCAATTGGTAGATAGGCTGTATTTACACCATAACGGTGCACAGCTGATAGAAAGGCACATCTAGTGGTTAAAGCACGTTATTGAATTTTATTATTTTATTATTTTCACAAAAATGAAACCATCAATAGCAGAAACAGAATTAACTGTCATTAGTAAACCACCCAAAAAAAAAAGATCATAAATGGTTTTGTTTTATATATATTTTAAGGATAATAATAGCAATGTAACACTGTCTATGACACTTACTGTATAACACTGATTTGAAAAACATACAGAAAAAACTAATTCACTGCCCTTAAAAATACATTTCAGGTGTGCTGTTTTGTTTAGATCATTGATATCTGGAGCTCTTTTAATGTCCTTTTTGATTATTGTTACACCAGGTCTTGTCAAAACCTTTATTCCATATTCAATATCCATTACTAAACAAAACAGCAATTCTACTCCACTACAATTCAGAGGTTAACCTGGTATTTTTACTCCACTACATTTATTTTAGTTACTTTGCAGATTCTGATTAATGATGTGAAATATAAACAACCCTTAAATCAGGCTTTAGTTACACCTGAGTAAAATTCAGGGCAAGGTGATTGTCAAGTGCCAACAATCAGGAGAGATATTTGATAGTTGCTGCTTGAGAAGACTAAACATTTATCTGAAGATCCCTATAAAGTATATTCATTACTCGTTATTCTCTACTAATAGTTAATTAAAGACTGTATATAATGGCTATTTTGCATATCCCTTTCAAGATTTCAAGATTTTCTAAGGTTTATTGACATATCATATACACAACTAATTCAATAACGTGCTTTAACCACTAGGCGGTGCACACAAGGTACACACAGCCATAATAACTTTGTATTATTAGTGTAGGACACTTGTGTATGTATAACATCTGAAGATGTGTAGTTTTATTCATGTTTTCACATAATTGTACAGGATATTGCTATATTATTTCACATGTTTTACTTATAATATCTGATTTGTAAAACATCACAGACAGAAAGGTATATCCGTCATTTAACAGTAAGCTATTGAAATTCTGAATCCATAGATGTGTCTCCCATCACCCAAATCCCCTGACTATTCTCTCAACTCAGTATTTACATTCTTATATTCAAAGAAAATCAGTAATATCTTTAAAAACGACAAGTCCTTTTATATCAGCTGTGCACCGTTATGGTGTATAACGTATTCTTTTTCGGATTTCACATCAACAGTAAGTCCGTTTAACTAAAATGTCCGTGCGGAACAATACCCCAACCCATAGATCCGTGGGTGAATAATGTCAATCACCACATTACACACACCCCTTCACATTTACATTTTAATTTACATTAAAGTATTTCGTGAGGCCTTCTAAAATGTTTTAAAATATAATTAGGGTTGTAGTTGAAGAGTTTGTAAATTGCGTTGCCTGGCAACGCAATCACACAACGTCACGTCCGTTAATTCCACATCCTCACCTCCACACACATGGATTAACATCGATTTAATACATTAATGTAGCCTTTGTTTCTGCTAAAAGAGGTGTCGACCAGCTAGGGCAACAAGAAAATCGGCGAAATCAAGTGTGATGATTAAAAAATAAATTAAAAACATCTCATTTTGACAATAAAAACCGACCAATAGGCGCGGTAGACCATTTGCTTGGCACTTCCGGGTATTTCTCCACTGGTTGGGCCATGTTAACAATACCGTGTAACTGTCACGTTTGAAGGGACGAAACCGTGACATATTCACGTCTCCCAGCATGGTAGATCGTCACATGTTCACGTCTTGCCGTGATACCGGGTTGGATGTGGCAGTACAGCATGCCAGCTGACAGGTCCTGATGCAGAGCATATCGACTGTAAGACCCACATTAAAACATATTCATACACCCTACTGCCATTTTGTTACGACTGAATAAACGGGTTTGAACTCAAATGCACGACTCACACAGGTTTTCACAAAAAAAGGTTTATTCAAACCAAAGCTCTACTACAGTGGTCAAAAACTAAATTACTCTTAACGAGGAAAAACAGTTTCAAAACAAAGTCACTTCAATGAGGAAAAACACTAGGAGCATGAATAACTAAATACTCAGACAACAAGACGTGGCTCAAAGCTCTGCTTGGGATTATTCCTGGCATGATACACTGGTAGTTTGTCACAAGAAACGAAACGAACTGGCACAGGACAAAGGGAGACGAGGACAATAAATACACCAGGTAATGGGGAACAGGTGGAAACAATCAGGGGCGGGGTCGACAATCACAGGAGTGGGAGACACACAAGGAAGGGAGGTCAGAGTATCTGAAACGAGAGGGAAGGTTACTATTCAAAAATAAAGGGGAAAATCACTAGACAAAGACAAAAACACTAAACTAAACTAACATAATTTGCGAGAGATGACACATTTACAGTATATTAATGGACGAGTAAAACAAACGTGAAACCAAGGGTCAGTAACGTTTGCGATCATTCTGAATTTGTTTCATCTTATCCGGAGATGCCTCAAATTCTATTATCAATTATATGTATCATTTAATGAACTAAATGTGTCTAAAACACTCTAAAATATATC